TTTCTTTGTCGTCTGCCGCTCTGTTACCTCGGTGGTTCCCCGTCTTGCTATTAAGGTTAGTGTTCTATGCATGTGTTTTTAGTTTTTCTTCTTTCGTTTCTGTTGATTACTTATTGTTTTATTCTGGTGACTAACTAGGTATTGCCTGCATGCTTTACTTTTGTGTTTTGGTTTCTTATACTGCTTATTTTATTTATACAATTTGCCATGCTCGGTGGACTCGAGCAATTTTGTCAGGATATGTAGATTTAGCAAGACTCAGGTTCAGTGCACTCGAGCAATTTTGTTAGTATATGTAGATTTAGTAAGATTCAGGCTCAGTGCACTCGAGCAATTTTGTGAGGATATGTAGATTTAGTAAGGCAAGCAAATTACTTGAAAGAAATAGGTAGAGCCACTATAATAAATATCGGTGGCATGCGCTGTATGTGTATGCAGTTGTAAGAGAGAAAAAATTACCTGAAAGAAATACGTACAACCACTATGATAAGTATCAGTAGCATGCACTATATATGTATGCAGAACAGACCATAGTCATGATTTTGTATTGCTCAGAACAAGATTTTTATGCACTGATCATCGATTCAGTCTTTAGGGGTTACAGAAAAGTGACATATATCATGCAGTGCTACCACTAATAGTGCAATTGTATATTTGGAGAAAGGAAGCAGGTTAACCACTCAGTATTAGATTATGATGCTACATGTAGCAGTACCATCTAAAAAGGACATACATATTACTTCATGAAAAATCTTGGTAGAAAAGTAGTGAAGCCTTTTTGCAGTGGATTGCATGTAATACCACGACACTGCTATATCTGCCAAAAACTGAGTTATATATAGTAGAACATTTCAGATGAAAATACTCTCCATAATGAATTTGTTAGCAAAGCTTAGTCCTCTATGAATATTAGATGCATTCTTTGGCACCTTTAATCTCCATGTGAAGAATGTGATCTTGCAACTTGCTTGTTCATTCTCCATTTATGCTAAAACTATTTCTTTCTAGAAGGCATACTACTCTTCTTGTGCTCAGAAAACTAAGCTATCTGGCACATGCTCTACTCTGCTTTAGCAGGTGCTCACGGTCGCAGAGGCCAAGGAATACATGATACCCCGGTACTTTACTAATGACCCATGTTAACGGAATATTTTTGTTGCAAACATTTTTGTTAGTTGTCCTTTCATTTTATTTATTTGTAATCATGGTTGGATAGTGACTTTGAGTGTGCTTCTTCACTAAAAGAGGTGTTTCGCAAATTTTCACTTGTTTCGGAATGGAATAATCTCATGGATTGTATGAAAAACTAAATTTAGTTATTTCAATATGCATAATGTTTGGTTACGGTAATTCTGATGGCCAGGCACTATACTGCGCATAAGTAAAATTTCCAGTTTTTTTTGTGTGGTCAGTACCAGAACTTATAAAGAATGTTAGCTTCCGATTGGACCCTTGCTGATTCATTTCGACCACAGTACCAGAACCCAGGTTGTTACAACACCACTTTGTAGTTTTGTTCCTCAGTAGAAAGTCGCTTAGCTGACGTTATAGCATGAGGTCTGCTGAACTTTCCCTGTCATGCCCTTTGGTTCCTACACGATGTTGCATTTGCCTGGCAATGTCGTGTCTCTCTAGACACAGGTGAATGCACTTGACTTTTTGAGATCGAGGCCACCAACAGCATATGCCAAGGGCGTCCATTGATAACCTGCCCAATGCCTGGATTCACCGAGGAGGTACAACCGGACACGTGGTCAGCTGCCTGCTGGTCTGGAAACTACACAATATCTCTGAACCCACTATCCTCTAATGCATGAATCTCTATGCTCAATTGGGCTACAACTAATTTATCATCGTTTCATCTTATTGCAAACATCATGTTTTTCATTGAAAGAAAGAACATTAAGAAATATTTTCTCATTCTATTGTAGCAATAGCTACTGTACGAATAGTGGTACTGTGTTCGGCCGTTTGTTCTTGTGGCTTCCTGGCCATGGGCGCTTTACTGCTTTGTTCCAGAAAAAACCTGGTATGTTTATTCTGCTGGTACAACTACTCTTTGGCTGGGACATTTTGGCTTGGAATAATATAAATGAACCTACAATTTCTTAATATTTTATATCACTTTTTGTATTGATGTCCTTGTGCACACCATCTGGATGCTTTGAAAGTATTTACCCGGCTTTCTTTTGATTTGAGTTGTCTTTATGTCAAGGACTATTACATAGCATTAAGAAAGGCCGTAGTTAACCAGAATAACAACTGCGACATTTCCTTGCAGAAAAACTATAATGTTACTTGCAGTGGTGATGATAGCGGGTCTTCCGAATCGCTTCCTCGGCCTAACAACGCAACCTACAGACCAACTGTTATCAACATCGGTATGATGCTGGTAAGCACACCACGACAGATTTACTTTTTAAAACCTACTGCTTATACTCATCTTTTAAACCTCTTACTGTTTATAGCTCTGTAGGACCTTCGCACCGTTGCATGAAAGCCAAGAAGAAAAAAAGGAGCATACATCGCATGGTACAAAACCGTCTACCATTACCATTGTCATGCCATTATACCTAATTTTATTTCCCTTCCTATTCATACTAATCTTTCAAACCCTCTTCATGATTATCATCATACAACACCTACAACTAAATACATAAAACTGAAGAAGGCTGAACACAAGGCCTACAGAACCCGTACGATCAAACAATGTGTTCGTTTTCTCTACTAATACCAGTACATACATATGCTTACACCAACCATTTAATATACCATTGAATACGGGCACCCGACACTATCTACTCCCTCCGTTCGGAATGACTTGTCTCGGAAATGGACGTATATAGAACTAAAATACGTCTAGATACATCCATTTCTGCGACAAGTAATTCCGAACGGAGGAAGTACTTTCTAAGCTTTGATGGTCACTGCAGATGGGGAAACAAAGTGAGGCTATACATGAAGAGGCTCACATGTTTGCCACTCAAAGAATGCCAAGACCCTATACACATCACCTACAATTATATATACAATTCTTCTTAGTGTTGTTACCTTTCATTTCCAATGTTTCTTTTCTCAATGTTGTTACCTTTCATTTCCAATATTTCTTTTCTCAGTATTGTTACCTTTCATTTGCAGTATTTCTCGGTCAGTTTTACCCAAAAATATCTCCGCCGTTGTATGACTTGCCAATAAAATCTAGAGATGGAAATCCCTGCATCAAAGCCCATCTAATCAAAGGAGTCGATAACAGGGCAACAATTACCAGAGGCTGGGCAGGCTTCTTCCCCAAGCTAATATGAAGGAAAGATAAATATATGTCTTCGCCTTCAAGCGCAACTACAAGCGCTTGCGTCTCACCGTGCACGCCCTCTGAGCATCGTGTTCAGTCTACTAAACTACGTAATTAGCCTATGAAGTTCTTTGTGTATAGCTTCACCCTAAGAACCTGTTTGCTTTTGGCACTGGACTCTCTCTTCATCATGTTTAGTCTACTAAACTACCTAAATAGCCTATGAAGCTCTGTGTAGCTTCACCTTAAGAACCTGTTCGGTTTTAGCACTACTCCCTTGTTTGCTTTTGGCACTACTCTGGTATGTATAAATTTGGAATCCATGATGCTTTGTTAGATCCGTGTAATATATATATTCCAACTGCATCTAAACCCTGTTGTTTAATGCATTTTTTATATATATTTAGGGAAAAGCTTTCTGCTTCTGTGACCAAAGGAACCCATTTACATTGCCCTATATATGATCGTCAATCAATATCCAAGAAGACCTAAAAGGGAAATTAATACTTTCTGAAATCCAAGTTTAACACTATTATTGTATCCACCATCATATCCAAAATTGCTTACCTCCTCTTCTAAACATTCTTTTTTTCGTCTGAAAGTCAATTTAAGTCATCCTACTCACTACTAACATCGCTTCTAACTCGCTTTTTGCGCCATTGGCGCAACCAGGTCATCTAGTTGGTGTAAAGACCAACTATAGCCGGGTAGGAGATCGTTGATGAGCTCAAGCTCTTCTACGCGTTCAACTAGTAAATCTCAATTTGTACGAGGCATTCGTATACCAATTTGCATTTTCTGCTCTGAATGTGCACATGTTCTTTCTGTCATCTGATAGGTTCTGAGAATCGGCGAAGATGCAGACCGCGGATTGATCAGTTCACCTATCACTAGTACTTCATACAAAGATTGTTGTGGTTGTGCACTAGTGTCTTCGATATGGAATTATTCGATTAAAATAATGCACGGTCATCGCAGGAATTTTTCAGTTATCACCACAACGTATCCATCCCCCCAGTCCCTCAAACCAAACACTTAAAATGGCTATCTCTAACCATCCCACCCAACCAAACAAAAAAAAAGGCTATTCCTAGCCAGGTGATTGGGGATACCCTCAACCACCCAAACTTATCCCAGGAACCAAACACATCCTTACGTGCAAGCTATGAAACGGCTAGAGGCCGGATAACCAGCGTTATTGCTCCTGATGGACCCGGTGTGCCCCTAGGTCTGTTGGGCCAGGGCTCTTTGTTCCTTTTCTAAAGTTCTTGTGTTGTGTTTGACAGTCCAGGCGGAAATCATTCACAAAACATGGCACATGTGAGGGAGAGAGTGATTTCGTCAATTATCCGGCTAGATCAAGAATTCAAGATGAAACGGCACGGCAGCTTTCTCTCCCACCTCCGGCTCTCAATCCTTCCTCTTCATGCTTCTTCTATTTCAGCACACTTGTGCTTGTATCCCTCAATTTACTGAGTGAATCCCTTTGAGATGCTATCTGTAATCCCCCATCGATCTTAATCAATAAAGTGTTATATATTGATTCGCAAAAAAAGAAATGGTCGCAGAATCTCTTTCCTTAGAAACTTGAACTCATCAACAAAGAAAGAGAGATCACAAGTAGGAAATTACAACGTATCTTCATTTGTCGGATACTAATTAAGGAGATTAAAACCTTACCTAGCTACAGAAAAGTGGGAAAGGCACTCTAGACGGGAACTAAACTTGGAACGTATGAGATTACTTGAAAGGCACATGTCTCCGTTGGGTATTCAACAAACACGCCCGTGTCAGGGTGGTAATACCTCAACTGGAGCTGCATGTGAAGCGGAGCCCTTTCTTCTTCCTTGCTCCTCCCAGGTTCTTGAGTTTCACGGCAGAGATAGCAGGGTTCGGCATGGAGCACTAGCACGTCAGTGTAGGCAGCTATTGGACGTAGACATCGGAGTCGTGGAAAAGTGTGTATCTCGATGACATGGCGTGGCTCCCATTGTGGCGCGTCGTCCAAGTCGCGGCAGATCCACGTCTCGTGCGAACCGTCGCCGTAGTCAGCCTCGTGACGAGGCACGCACACGCACAGCTCCCCACGCAGCTCGGCTAAGCTCGCAGCCGCGTAGTCCAGGCTCGGGCTGCAAGGAGGCCCTGGCAGGACACCGAACGACTCGTCTTCTAACTTGAAGCGGATGAATCCCGGCGCTTCCCGGAGTAGCAACTCCTCGACGGTCCAAAGCAACGAGTCCTTGAAGAAGGTGGCGGTTCGGCCTGGCAAGACAGGGTAAGGTGGAGGCGCTGCCGTCTCTCGCCAACGCTGGTCCGCCGCTCCGACGGTGAGCACCTCCATCCCGAGGGTGTAGTGGTTAGGGTTGTCCACGGGCCCTTCCATGGAGCGGTAGAAGAAGCGAGCAACCTTGTAAGCTTTGGAGCGAGGGTCATGGCCGAGGCCGAAAGCCTGATGGCCCTGGAATCCAAAAGGGGTTGAACCAAACATGACAGCGTGAGGAGGCCTCAAGGGAAGCACGAGGACACGCCTTGTGGCCGGGTTGAGCACACGCACCATGGCGTCGGAAGGCACCAGCACCAGCCCGTCACAGTGCGCAAGGTCGTGGGAAACATTCGTCGTGCCCGGGACGGAGTAGTCGGCGCCCATGGGGTGTACGAGGGTGGCGGTGTCCTGCTCCCACGGGTACAGGCCAGCGGCGGCGGCGGTATTCCTGTCGTCGCCGTCGGCCTTGACGCCCTGCTCCCACCTATACAAGCCGGCGGCGGTGATCCCGCCATCCCCCTTAACATGTGGGGCGATGAGCGTGAACGTGTTCTGGGCGGCGCGGAGGCGGAGGTGTGCGCGGACAAAGAAATCATTGTCAATGGTGTCGCGCCATGCCTTGCAAACACACCTGAACCGCAGCAGCGAATTCACGGGGAGCCGGAGGAGGATCTCCGTGGACACCAGCTCGGTCAGATGTTGTGGGTAACAAGACATGGCCATGGCCAGGATCAAGGGCGTGATCTCTAGGACTTGGGCTTTTATTAGGGCGAGGTCGGTGCGGTTAGTATTTTGGCGCAAGTTGCGCACGTCCTCCGGTTTTATATACCGGCATCCAACAGTACCGACTCCATCTCCGACTCGTACGCCTACTTGATCCCACCAAGTTTCGGATCTTTAGATTTGGGTGTGTCGGCACATCTAGATGTGCTCTAGTTATTGCACATCTAAGTGAGTGAATCAAGCATAAAAAGAAAAAGAAAAAAGAGAAAGAAAATATTCACACGAATCTCAATGTAAGATCAATGACATATGACTTAGATGTGCAATTCTTATGGCACATCTAGATGTGCTTTAGCAAAACTGTATTATTACAAGTTTCGGTTTTATTAGGGCATGTACAACAGTGTTGACTCAGCTGTCTGTAACACATGCCACCTAGGATTTGTGATGAGTTGGATCAAAAAGAAAAGAGAGAGAAAGAGGTCGTCTGTAATTCTGCAGACGGTCGAATCCCATAAAATTCGGCGGCTAACGACGCATGTTTTCCCGTTGTATCGCATGTCGTCGGTAACAATACTCGATCGTCTTCTTCGCAACATAGTGTCCTACGAGCGCCATGACCTCCTCGATCCAGCGGAGCGCGTCCCGGCCGGCCGGTTTGCAGATCAGGCGCCATGGTTCACGGGATTCTTAAATGAGAAGAAGCCGCTGCTGAAGCCCAACGCCCCGTCCGGTACGTCTCTTCCAGCCACTCCACTTCTACCGCCGCCTCAACCTGGCCGCCCAAAGGCGACAGGGAGGCGATTGTCTGCCTGCGCTAGGGTTAGGGTTTACCTGCGGGGATGAGAGCGGCTACGGTGGAGGAGAGGGGGCGACGGCGCTACCCTGGACTCCGACCGGTGTGTGTCTACTTCGCCAGGGGCGGGGCTGATGGCGGAGAAAGCAACGGGAAAGACGACGAAGATCTCGGAGAAGATGGCATCTCCAATGGCGGCGGCGGCGGACCTAAAGAAGACTGTGCCTCCATCTAGGGCTACCGGGGATGGGGGCGCGAGCCAGAAGAAGATGGGTGCTGCGACGTCTCTTGCATCTGGCGGATCCGGAGTGCGAAACCAGCGGAGCTCGGTGACCCCGGCTAAGGTGCCGGATGCATCGGGATCCACCAGTAAGAAAACGGATGAAGGGATTGGGGTAGCAGCAGCCACACCGCTCCGCAAGATTGGAGAATCAGCTAGTCGGAAGTCATCTAAATCCCCGGTAGAGAGCAAGAGGCCGGATCCAACGTCGAGTCTTTCAGCGAGATTGGGTGGAATGGTACTGTTGGACAAGGAGGCCGAGGGCCTGGTTTTTGATGAACATGTTCAGGCAACACCAAAGGTCCCAAGATGGGCGGCTGTAGGGAAGGTCTGTTCGTCAAGGCCAATGATTAAGAGTGCACTGGAAAGAACGATGCAGAGGGCTTGGGGACTACACAAGGAGGCCAGATTCAGAGATTTGGCGTCCAATGTACTTGAAGTACACTTTGGTAGTGAGGGGGAATAGAAACATGCAATGAATAATGGGCCGTGGCAATATGATTTCAGTGTACTGCTTCTCAAGGAGTACGAAGGAAATAAAAGGCCATCAAAGATGATCTTTGACAAAGTGGATGTCTGGGTGCGAGTAGATGATCTACCACCTGACAAGAGGACATAAAGCTTTGGTAAAGCACTTGGCAACTGGCTTTGTGAAATTGTGAAAGTGGATGTTGATAAAGATGGGTTTGCCCGGGGGAACAACCAGTTCGAGCCAAAATCTCAGTTTTTGAACCCTTGGTTAGAGGTTTTTACCTTAGGAAATCAGTGGAGGATAAAACTCGTACGTGGTTTGACTTTCACTATGAAAAGATACCCCACTTTTGCTTTGAATGTGGAAGGCTAGTTCATGATGATGGCATCTGTGTTCCACCGATAGAGTCTTCAGCACAGTGGGGAGGCTGGCTTCGTGCGTCACCTGGAAGAAATAGTAATACAAAGGAGGGTCGCAGGGGCCATCTTTGAGCAGTAGCAACAATGGGGGAGGAACTGGACGGACTGGCGACAGCGACCAGAGACGTCATGGAAACATGAATAGGGATATTCCTGCTAAACGCAACCTACATGTAACGCCCTCGATGCGGCTATAGCTCCCACGTGTCGAGTCACGACTTAGAGGCATAACCGCATTGAAAGCAATGTCGCAAGTTAGGCAATCTTCACAACATCCCATGTAATATAGATAATAAAAGGGGAGATACATAGTTGGCTTACACTCGCCACGTCAATCAAAGTACATAAATAGCATTACATCAATCAAACACTCATGGCCCGACTACGGCGCCAAAATAAAAGATAACCCAACAAGCGACACGGTCCCGGTCACCCCAACTGGGCACCACTACTGATCATCAGGGAAAGAGACGTAGTATCAGCGTGAGTCCTCGTCGAACTCCCACTTGAGCTCAAGCGTGTCATCTGGAACGGAATCATCAGGCCCTGCATCTGGTTTGGAAGTAATCTGTGAGCCACAGGGACTCAGCAATCTCGCACCCTCGCGATCAAAACTATTTAAGCTTAATAGGTAAGGCAAGGTAAAATATGTGGAGCTGCAGCAAGCGACTAGCATATATGGTGGCTAACCTGTTCGCAAAAGAGAGCGGGAAGAGGAGGCAAAGCGCGAACGAGTAACTAGAGAACATCCTGCGGCAAGCATTACTCCAACACCGTGTTCACTTCCCGGACTCCGCCGAGAAGAGACCATCACGGTAACTCACACTGTTGATTCATTTTAATTAAGTTAAGGTTCAAGTTATCTACAACCGGACATTAACAAATTCCCATCTGCCCATAACCGCGGGCACGGCTTTCGAAAGTTCAAATCCCTGCAGGGGAGTCCCAACTTAGCCCATGACAAGCTCTCACGGTCAACGAAGGAATAGACCTTCTCCCGAGACATTCCGATCAGACTCGGTATCCCGGTTCTACAAGACACTTCGACAAGTTAAAACAAATCCAGCAACACCGCCCGAATGTGCCGACAAATCCCGATAGGAGCTGCACATATCTCGTTCTCAGGGCACACTCAGATTGTCTTAACTTCCGGTAGGCCAGCCCAGAGTTGCCCCTGGTGGCCACCGGCGGCTGACGAGTTGGACCAACACTCATAGGAGCACTGGCCCGGGGGGGTTTAAAATAAGATGACCCTCGGGCTCCGGAACCCAAGGGAAAAAGAGGCTAGGTGGCAAATGGTAAAACCAAGGTTGGGCATTGCTGAAAAAGCTTTAATCAAGGCGAACTATCAAGGGGTTCCCATTATCACCCAACCGCGTAAGGAACGCAAAAATCCGGGAACATAACACCGATATGACGGAAACTAGGGTGGCAAGAGTGGAACAAAACACTAGGCGAGAGGCCGAGCCTTCCACCCTTTACCAAGTATATAGATGCATTAAGATAACAAGGCAATATAATGATATCCCAACAAGTAAATAATGTTCCAACAAAGAACAGTCTCCAATCTTCACCCGCAACTAGCAACGCTATAAGAGAGGCTGAGCAAAGCGGTAACATAGCCAATCAACGGTTTGCTAGGACATGGTGGGTTAGAGGTTTGACATGGAAATTTGGGAGGCATGATAAGCAAGTGGTAGGCATCGTAGCATAGACATAGCAAAAGAGCGAGCATCTAGCAAAGCAAAGATAGTAGTGATTTCGAGGGTATGATTATCTTGCCTGCAAAGTTGTCAGAGTTGACTGGATCCTCGAAAGCAAACTCAACGGCCTCCTCGTTAGCAAACTCGTCTCCCGGCTCTACCCAAACAAGACAAACAAGCAATAAGGACACAATCAACCACGTGCAAACTCAAACAACATGATGCAAAGATGGTATGCTATGCAGGATGCAATATGTGATGCATATGCAAGATTTGACAAGGAATGCATGAACTTGGCCTCAACCTGGAAATCCAAGTACGCCACTGGAAAGGTGAGATGAAATCGCTTGAAAACGATATAAAGAACGCCGGAATCGGAGTTACGGTTTGGAAATGGCAAGCAATTCAAATATGGCCACGTTCTGCGATTTACAGCAAGTAGCCATCTAAATGCAACAAGATGAACATGCTACAGCACCCAAACATGACATCAAAATACATGGCAGGGATCCACTCATGATGCTTAACAAAAGACTAGCACTAAGCTACGGCAAATTCATCCATTAACAGGTTCAAACAAGCATGGCAAAAATGCATTGGTAAACAGATTTCAGACTTAGTGAAATTAACACTTGTCTGGAATTTCAGATCAGGTAGCCCACTTTGGAGCATGAAAACTATATGCTACAGGACCTGAACATGACAAAGTAAGGCATGACATGGAGCTACTCAAAGAGCTTAACAAAAGTCCCTTAGTGACCTTGAGCCAAAAGGGATCAAGAAATACATTTGCAAGCATGTGAACATGGCAAAAACATAATCAGTTCTCAGACTAAGTGAAAACTGGAGCATGCTGAAACAGATATCAAGTATGCATGTTTACGAGCTCGATGCACTCACTACAGAGCAAGTCATGACAATCTAAGCATACACCCATCAAGAATACACAAAATACAAGCTAGACATGGTAAGAACAATAACATAGCATGCACGGATCAACTACAACATCATCGGCAAAATCGCTAACAAATAGACAATCTGCCCAGATTCACGAAATGACGAAAGTATAGCTTGATTGACTCAAGCTAGGGTGCTCCATAATTGCAAACAAATACATGGATGGATAGAGCACTACAAGATTAACAAAACATCCTTACTGATCATCCTCAAAAGAGGCACGGATCACTAGGAATCAACATGAACATATGGCATAATGAGATAAACAGCTCAAGGACTTAGTGGAAATGCTAAGTCCCTGAAATCAGCATTAACAAATGCACCACTTTGCAAGCTTGTGCTAGTCACCACACACATCACAAAAATACATGGG